ACAGAAGTTATTCTATGCACATGGTGTATTCGATTGAGGCATGCCCTTGTATATAACATTAGATACGATACAGCTGCACACAGTGTTTTAATTAAAAATCAACTGAACTACATCGAGTAAAAAAAGAAAAACACAGCCTCCACTGACAAGGACAAAATATGCTACAGCGTCTACATACAAGTACAAAACATATCACTGCGTCAGTATATAACCACATACACCACAACGTCTGTATACAGTGACAAAATAAACCTCACCAATCACATCTACATACAAGTACAAAACATATCACTGCGTGAGTATATAACCACATACACCACAACGTCTACATACAGTGACAAAATAAACCGCACCGTTCACGTCATACAAGTACAAAACATATCACTGCGTCAGTATATAACCACATACACCACAGCGTCTGTATACAGTGACAAAATAAACCTCACCAATCACATCTACATACAAGTACAAAACATATCACTGCGTGAGTATATAACCACATACACCACAGCGTCTGCATACAGTGACAAAATAAACCTCACCGTTCACATCTACATACAAGTACCAAACATATCACTGCGTCAGTATATAACCACATACACCACAGCGTCTGCATACAGTGACAAAATAAACCTCACCGCTCACATCTACATACAAGTACAAAACATATCACTGCGTCAGTATATAACGACATACACCACAGCATCTGCATACAGTGACAATATAAACCTCACCGTTCACATCAAAGGACAACATAAACATCAACGTCTCCATACAAGGACAAAATGTATTACTGCGTTTGCAAACAATGAAAAAATACCTCAGTTTTAACACACAAGGACAAAATACACTAATGCATCAAAGGACACATTTAAGATACACCACAGCATTTCCAGACAATGGAAAGCTGTACTGCAACGTCAATAAACAAACAAGGATAACACATTCCTTACGTCAACGTATGTCAAATCCGATCTCAAAGTCGGTACGAAATACAACAGAGAATGAGGAAACGCTATGACAAAAGGAAAGACATCCTGAAAATCTGTGAATGAGGAAAGAAGCTCCAGAAGGGTTTAATTTGTTTTTTTAGATCAAAGCATGATGCCCACAGTCAAATCCTAAACTGGATTATATATAATTACCTGCCATAGTGTTTCAACTCTCCACCAGGCTTCGATCGAAAATATAAAAGAGCGCAGCTTTGCGGAGAGAAATGGTATTAAGCAGGTAATCTAGTGTTGTCAAATCCTGCAAATAAGTACATTAACATCTAACTGAGACAATATGGACAGGTCTTCAGTCATAATGAACACATAAATATCACAGTTATCAGGTAATCGAATCAACTGTAGCGTTTCTTCAACGTCGACTGATAATATATTATTACGGTAAATCACTCAAACATAGCGACAATTATTGTTGTTCTAATTCGCGAGGAGAGAAACATTGACTTCAAAAATCTCGCTGTTGTCTATAAAAACATGCTTAAATATACAAAAAAATATATACATGCTGTACTTTTTTAGGGAATTTAAATTCTCAATAAATGTTGCTTAAAACATAATCATGAAAACGAATACTCGAGATATACAATGAATTGGTAATATAAAGGAACAATTTACAAAAACTTACTTGGTGATTTACAGTAAAGAGAGGCAATGAACAGCAACCTAAGTTACGTAGCATACTGAGTGACAATGTACCATAGCTCAGACATTGTTAGTGTATCTTGACAATTAAAACAAACCTCCAAATTCCTTTTTAAAATAATTTCTATTTCTCATGAAATTCAAGTAACAACTGAAAATATCGCATTTGATATTTGCAGCATTTGAAATAGAAAAGAAACAAAATCGTGTATATAGTCATTGACAACTAACCCTGTAAGGTAAAAAAAAAAAAAGAGGGCAGAACCAGGTGCTTCAGACGGGTAAGCGCTTCCGGAAACACGTGTGGCACCCATCACGATGTCTCCCCTCATATCAATACATGTTTATAGCTCACCAGTGATCTGAGACTCGGCGGATTTGTATTTAGATAATAAACAACAACTTTATGTATGTATTGTTTGATGACAATAATTCAGTGACACGACGCTTATGGAACGTTATTCATAATATTGACTAAAACATTAAACACTAAAGCCGAGTAACATGTTCTGTAAGCCCTAGTGCCTACGTGTCTGTTCACTGGCCGTAACTAAGATTTCTCATGTATTTTGCACTAGATCTATCTTTTCAATTAAATGTCAATGTTTCATTATTTAGAAGCATCAAATATCCAAACTACTCATTAAGATATCTAGTATGCAAGATCACACAATCTTAAATTTTCTTGTTTTTCATATTAAGTCAATATATGGAATGGTATATGGTATGGTTCTATGTGTTTTAAAATTCAAGATAAAAGCATTACGCTGATTGTGTAAGGATAATAAGTACCATTCCGACTTCATTCCTTATAAAAATCGATCAAGTTTTGCTCATTTAGTAAACGATTGTCAGATCTATGTACAGCATTAAAAAGCCCTTCGGGGAAAATTCACTAAAAACATGACCAAATTGATGCGATAAATACGGAAATCTTTTCCATTTTAGTCCTTATCAATTGATTTTGGAAAGCCAAAGAACCGTCAATGTTTGAATAATATGTTTAAAGCGATCTTATCTAGACAGTTCTAATGGAATTAGTACGTTTTGTGTGTAGAGTTTACGCCACTGGTCTATCTATCTACACACTGTGTATGTAAAGTGGTAAACAGAAACGCTGGACTGGATCCATATACTCCTGTAACAGCCTAGTATTTTAAGTATCTGAGCCATTTAATACATGTATGTGTCATAGGACGCTGTCGAAAACTTATCTCTATTACTAAATGTTCAAGGAGCGATTACCTGTGTGTGTTACAAAGGTGGTCGACTCTATTTGTGAGTTTCGTGGTCCCCTTGATAGCCACAGTTATATCTGGGACAGGGTATGATATACATATTTTTCTTATTATATCATTGAAATTAACCAGTTCTCTTCTAAATTTTGAAATTCATAAACTAAGGGCTCTTACATTGTAGCTTCCCTTGTGTTTCAACAGTAGTTTTTTCCCAAACAGTTTGGCCCCTTGCAACAGTATTGCCCCTAGCAACAGTATGGTCCCTAGCAACAGTACGGCCCCTAGCATCATCGATGATTCCTAGAAAGACGAAACAGCTGTATGATGAAGTTATTTCATTTTTGGTATACCAAATTTTCAAGATGCAATCTTTATGCACCTGTGTATGTGTTACGTTTAATTTCTATATTGTTATAAAACTGAGCTCGTTATAACAACCTGGTACATTACTGATGTGTGTGTACCAAATGTATCAGAAAAAAACTACGAATAAAAGGTGAAGCATTTTTTTTTTCAAAATACCATTTACTCAAAAACTACAACATATCCATTTTATTATTAGATTCACCTATATTTATAGAACTTTTTCTTTGTTACATGATTCAAACAGTTGGAGAACATTGATCTACTCTCCCCTATAAGTTTGATATATTTGAATGTAAGATTGACCAATTAGGACGCCAATATATGGTAGTTATTCTATGAAATTACACGGTTTTTCATCTTATAGATTTTAGATGAAATATTCAGCCATTTTAAGAAAGCATGAAGAAAATCTTGATTCGTGACTAGAAGCTAAATAAGCGCATGGCGTCGAAAGTAATAGCTTGAGAGGATTATTTAAGTCATAAACACAAATATTTGTGCACGCATTAAAGTAATGTTGCATGATATTTCGTCGGTTATCAATTGAAAAAAAACGATGTTAGAAATATGAAAATATATATCTATATATAAATTAATAAGAACTTTATTTTCTTTACAACAATAATGAAACAAGTTTTAACAACGTCTATTATCAATCGCTATTGTTGGCCCTGATGTGAAAACTTGTTGCTTCACATTCATAAGAACGCGAGAACGCAAAAAAAACCAATTTTACAGATTAAACGTGTGCTAATGTACAGTAATTTCGGTCTAGCATGTCTAATAACATTTCAATTATTTAAAGTGTAGGTGACCTTCACAGTCCATATTTCCCTACAGCCCACTTGAGAACGTGCATGTATGTGATCTTATGTATGGATCGGTCGCGAGCCAAATCAAAATTCCATATCTAAATTGAGGATTTCTATCAAATAAATATACCAGTTTACATCACGACAAGGGAAATCCCAAAATACCGCACACGACATGTTCGGTAATGCATGTATCATACCGTGTATAGCTACTGGCTTTGGTACGCTATGGTTAGGTAATATCTGTGCTATCACTTCGGTAGACAATCGTTTGTATGCCATGACTCTGCTAATGGCTGCAATGGGCAGTTGTTTATAAGTGACGACTTTGTTTTTAGATAATGTGTGCTACAGGTTTGATTAAGCAATACTTTACCGGTAAGAAAGGTTTATAGCTTATTTGTGTGTCCAAACCTTTGGTTAGCAACAGTTTATAGACACTGTCTGCTCTAAAGACTTCGGTATGCAAAGGTTTATAGACAATGTCTGTACCAAAAACTTTGGTAAGCAACAGTTTATAGAAACTGTCTGTGCTAAACACTTCAGTACGCAAAAGCTTACGGGCATTGTCTGTGCTTACGACTTCGGTACGCTAAGATGTAAGGGCAATGTCTGTGCTAACGACTTCCGTACGCAAGGTTTATGGGCAATTTCTGTGCTAAAGACTTCCGTACGCAAGGTTTATGGGCAATGTCTGTGCTAACGACTTCGTACGCAAGGTTTATGGGCAATGTCTGTGCTGGATACTTCCGTACGCAAAGGTTAATGGGTAATGTCTGTGCTAACGACTTCCGTACGCAAGGTTTATGGGCAATGTCTGTGCTAAAAACTTCCGTACGCAAAGGTTTATGGGCAATGTCTGAGCAAACGACTTCCGTACGCAAAGGTGTAAGGGCAATGTCTGTGCTAACGACTTCGGTACGCAAAGGTGTATGGGCAATGTCTGTGCTATAGACTTCGGTACGCAAAGGTGTATGGGCAATGTCTGTGCCAAAGAATTCTGTACGCACAGGTTTATGGGCAATGTCGGTGCTAACGACTTCCGTACGCAAGGTTTATGGGCAATGTCTGTGCTAACGACTTCGTACGCAAGGTTTATGGGCAATGTCTGTGCTCAAGACTTCCGTACGCAAAGGTGTTTGGGCAATGTCTGTGCTAACGACTTCCGTACGCAAAGGTGTATGGGCAATGTCTGTGCTAAAGACTTCGGTACGCAAAGGTGTATAGGCAATGTCTGTGCTAAAGACTTCGGTACGCAAAAGCTTACGGGCAATGTATGTGCAAACGACTTCGGTACGCAAAGGTGTATGGGTAATGTCTGTGCTAAAGACTTCGGTACGCAAAGGTGTATGGACAATGTCTGTGCTAAAAACTTCCGTACGCAAAGTTTTATGGGCAATGTCTGTGCAAACGACTTCCGTACGCAAAGGTGTAAGGGCAATGTCTGTGCTAACGACTTCGGTACGCAAAGGTGTATGGGCAATGTCTGTGCTATAGACTTCGGTACGCAAAGGTGTATGGGCAATGTCTGTGCCAAAGACTTCTGTACGCACAGGTTTATGGGCAATGTCTGTGCTAACGACTTCCGTACGCAAGGTTTATGGGCAATGTCTGTGCTAACGACTTCCGTACGCAAGGGTTATGGGCAATGTCTGTGCTAACGACTTCCGTACGCAAAGGTTTATGGGCAATGTTTGTGCTAACGACTTCCGTACGCAAGGGTTATGGGCAATGTCTGTGCTAACGACTTCCGTACGCAAAGGTTTATGGGCAATGTCTGTGCTAACGACCTCCGTACGCAAAGGTTAATGGACAATGCCTGTGCTAACGACTTCCGTACGCAAGGTCTATGGGCAATGTCTGTGATAACGACTTCCGTACGCAAAGGTGTATGGGCAATGTCTTGCCTAAAGACTTCGGAACGCAAAAGTGTATGGGCAATGTCTGTGCTAAAGACTTCGGTACGCAAAGGTGTATGGGCAATGTCTGTTCTAAATACTTCGGTACGTAAAGGTGTAAGGACAATGTGTGTGCTAACGACTTCCGTACGCAACGGTTTATGGGCAATGGTGTGTTAACGACTTCCGTACGCAAGGTTTATGGTCAATGTCTGTGCTAACAACTTCCGTACGCAAAGGTGTATGGGCAATGTCTGTGCTAACGACTTCGGTACGCAAAGGTTAATGGGCAATGTCTGTGCTAACGACTTCGGTACGCAAAGGTTTATGGGCAATGTCTGTGCTATAGACTTCGGAACGCAAATGTGTATGGGCAATGTCTATGCTAAAGACTTCTGTACGCAAAGGTTTATGGGCAATGTCTGTGCTAACGACTTCCGTACGCAAGGTTTATGGGCAATGTCTGTGCTAAAGACTTCGGTACGCAAAGGTGTATGGGCAATGTATGTGCTAAGACGTCCGTACGCAAAGGTTTATGGGCAATGTATGTGCTAACGACTTCCGTACGCAAGGTTAATGGGCAATGTCTGTGCTAACGACGTCCGTGCGCAACGGTGTCTGGGCAATGTCTGTGCTAACGACTTCCGTACGGAAAGGTTAATGGACAATGCCTGTACTAACGACTTCCGTACGCAAGGTTTATGGTCAATGTCTGTGATAACGACTTCCGTACGCAAAGGTGTATGGGCAATGTCTGTGCTAAAATACTTCGGTACGTAAAGGTGTAAGGGCAATGTGTGTGCTAACGACTTCCGTACGCAACGGTTTATGGGCAATGGCGTGTTAACGACTTCCGTACGCAAAGGTTAATGGGCAATGTCTGTGCTAAAACCTTCCGTTCGCAAAGGTTTATGGGCAATGTCTGAGCAAACGCCTTCCGTACGCAAAGGTGTAAGGGCAATGTCTGTGCTAACGACTTCCGTACGCAAAGGTTAATGGGCAATGTCTGTGCTAACGACGTCCGTGCGCAAAGGTGTATGGGCAATGTCTGTGCTAACGACTTCCGTACGCAAAGGTGTATGGGCAATGTCTGTGCTAAAGGCTTCCGTACGCAAAGGTTTATGGGCAATGTCTGTACTAACGACTTTCGTACGCAAAGGTTTATGGGCAATGTCTGTGCTAACGACTTCCGTACGCAAAGGTGTATGGGCAATGTATGTGCTAAGACTTCCGTACGCAAAGGTGGGGCAATGTCTGTGCTAACGACGTCCGTGCGCAAAGGGGTATGGGCAATGTCTGTGCTAAATACTTCGGTACGTAAAGGTGTAAGGGCAATGTCTGTGCTAACGACTTCGGTACGCAAAGGTTTATGGGCAATGTCTGTGCTATAGACTTCGGAACGCACAGGTTTATGGGCAATGTCTGTGCTAACGACTTCCGTACGCAAAGGTTTATGGGCAATGTCTGTGCTAACGACTTCCGTACGCCAAGGTTTATGGGCAATGTTTGTGCTAACGACTTCCGTACGCAAAGGATAATGGACAATGCCTGTGCTAACGACTTCCGTACGCAAGGTTTATAGGCAATGTCTGTGATAACGACTTCCGTACGCAAAGGCGTATGGGCAATGTCTTGTCTAAAGACTTCGGAACGCAAAGGTGTATGGGCAATGTCTGTGCTAAAGACTTCGGTACGCAAAGGTGTATGGGCAATGTCTGTGCTAAATACTTCGGTACGTAAAGGTGTAAGGGCAATGTGTGTGCTAACGACTTCCGTACGCAACGGGTTATGGGCAATGGTGTGTTAACAACTTCCGTACGCAAGGTTTATGGTCAATGTCTGTGCTAACAACTTCCGTACGCAAAGGTGTATTGGCAATGTCTGTGCTAAAGACTTCGGTACGCAAAGGTGTATGGGCAATGTATGTGCTAAGACTTCCGTACGCCAAGGTTTATGGGCAATGTCTGTGCTAACGACTTCCGTACGCAAAGGTTTATGGACAATATCTGTGCTAACGACTTTCGTACGCAAAGTTTATGGGCAATGTCTGTGCTAACGACTTCCGTACGCAAAGGTTAATGGACAATGCCTGTGCTAACGACTTCCGTACGCAAGGTTTATGGGCAATGTCTGTGATAACGACTTCCGTACGCAAAGGCGTATGGGCAATGTCTTGCCTAAAGACTTCGGAACGCAAAGGTGTATGGGCAATATCTGTGCTAAAGACTTCCGTACGCAAAGGTGTATGGGCAATGTCTGTTCTAAAGACTTCGGTACGTAAAGGTTTATGGGCAATGTCTGTGCTAACGACTTCCGTAAGCAAAGGTTTATTGGCAATATCTGTGCTAACGACTTTCGTACGAAAGGTATAAGGGCAATGTCTGTGCTAACGACTTCCGTACGCAAAGGTTTAAGGACAAATCTGTACTAAAGACAATTATTTATTTGTAACTTGTGTGTGTAAAAACAAGCAATGGTTATATCTGATTATTTTAAGCTAATGGGTGTTTCTAAAGACTCCGGTAGGCAAGGATTATAGATATTGGGTGTGTCTAAAGACTCCGGTAGGCAATGATTATAGATATTGGGTGTGTCTAAAGACTCCGGTAGGCAACGATTATAGATATTGGGTGTGTCTAAAGACTCCGGTAGGCAAGGACTATAGATATTGGGTGTGTCTAAAGACTCCGGTAGGCAATGATTATAGATATTGGGTGTGTCTAAAGACTCCGGTAGGCAATGATTATAGATACTGGGTGTGTCTAAAGACTCCGGTAGGCAATGATTAAAGATATTTGGTGTGTCTAAAGACTCCGGTAGGCAATGATTATAGATACTGGGTATGTCTAAAGGCTCCGGTAGGCAATGATTATAGATAATGGGTATGTCTAAAGACTCCGGTAGGCAATGCTTATAGCAAATTGGTGTGCCAAAAACTCCGGTAGGCAATGATTAAAGATAATAGGGGGTGCAAAAAAACACAGGTAAGCAATGATAAAAGGTAATGGGTGTGCCAAAAGCACAGGTGGGCAATGATAAAAGGTAATTGATGTGCTAAAAACACCGGTAGGCAATGATAAAAGGTGATGGGTGTGCCAAAAACACAGGTAGGAAATGATAAAAGGTAATTGAGGTGCCAAAAACGCCGGTAGGCAATGATAAGAGGTAATTGAGGTGCTAAAAACTCCGGAATGCAATGATAAAAGGGAATGGGTGTGCCAAAAAGACAGGTAGGCAATGATAAAAGGAAATTGCGGTGCTAAAAACGCCGGTAGGAAATGATAAAAGGTAATTGAGGTGATAAAAACGCCGGTAGGCAATGGTAAAAGGTAATTGAGGTGCTAATAACGCCGGTAGGCAATGATAAGAGGTAATTGAGGTGCTAAAAATGCCGGTAGGCAATGATAAAAGGCAATGGGTGTGCAAAAAAGACAGGTAGGCAATGATAAAAGATAATGGGTGTGCCAAAAACTCCGGTGGGCAATGATAAAAGGTAATGGTTGTGCGAAAAACACAGGTAGGCAATGATAAGAGGTAATTGAGGTGCTAAAAACTACGGTATGCAATGATAAAAGGAAATGGGTGTGCCAGAAACACAGGTAGGCAATGATAAACGGAAATTGAGGCTCTAAAAACGCCGGTAGGCAATGATAGAAGGTAATTGAGGTGCTAAAAATGCCGGTAGGCAATGATAAAAGGTGATTGAGGTGCTAAAAACGCCGGAAGGCAATGATAGAAGGTAATGGGTGTGCCAAAAGCACAGGTGGGCAATGATAAAAGGTAATTGCGGTGCTAAAAACGCCGGGAGGCAATGATAAAAGGAAATGGGTGTGCCAGAAACACAGGTAGGCAATGATAAAGGGTAATTGAGGTGCTAAAAACTCCGGAAGGCAATGATAAAAGGTAATTAAGGTGCTAAAAACGCCGGTAGGAAATGATAAAAGGTAATTGAGGTGATAAAAACGCCGGTAGGCAATGATGAAAGGTAATGGGTGTGCCAAAAGCACAGGTGGGCAATGATAAAAGGTAATTGGGGTGCTAAAAACGCCGGCAGGCAATGATAAAAGGTAATTCAGGTGCTAAAAACGCCGGAACGCAATGATAAAAGGTAAAGGGAGTGCCAAAAACACAGGGAAGCAATGATAAAAGGGAAATGAGGTGCTAAAAACGCCGGTGGGCAATGATAAAAGGTAATGGTTGTGCGAAAAACACAGGTAGGCAATGAGAAAAGGTAATTGAGGTGCTAAAACTCCGGTATGCAATGATAAAAGGTAATGGGGGTGCCAAAAACACAGGGAGGCAATGATAAAAGGGAATGGGTGTGCCAAAAACTCATTGGTTTACAGGTAAAAACTCGAGTGAAGTCTTTGGTATACACTGTTTTATCGCTTAAAGTGTATCTAAAGAAAGCTTTTAGGGAGGGATTGACTGGAGTAAGGGCTTGTAAGGCATCGACGTATGAATTACATGGATGTAATTGTCATATATGTAAGCAATGATAAAAGGTAATTGAGGTGCCAAAAACGCCGGTAGGCAATGATAGAAGGTAATGGGTGTGCCAAAATCACAGGTAAGCAATGATAAAAGGAAATGGGTGTGCCAGAAACACAGGTAGGCAATGATAAAGGGTAATTGAGGTGCTAAAAACTACGGTATGCAATGATAAAAGGAAATGGGTGTGCCAAAAACTCATTGGTTTGCAGGTAAAAACTCGAGAGAAGTCTTTGGTATACACTGTTTTGTCGCTTAAAGTGTATCTAAAG